TCCCTGTAGTATATAATAAACAATATATCGTTCGGAAATAGCTTCAATTGAACTCCCTTGCAGCAATGTTTCTCAGCTCACAAGTAGACCCTAGGTACTTCATGTATGGAAGATTAAGGTCGGTCATGCTGAAAAAAAATAGCATGACTTGGGTTCCAAAACGGGCCAAAATAGCATGCGCAAGATAGATTTCAGCCAATCAAATCAGTGCTAGGTTTATGATTATAATGACGAGGTCATGCTATTCCAAATGAGCATGACTTAACACAGGGATACCAACTGAAAAGTCATTGAAACTCAGCCGATTCACAACAGCTGTTGGGCTCTCTGCGTAAAGAAACCCAATGGCAGGTCATGCTCTCCAGAATGAGCATGACTAACCACAAGGGATAGTATGTATGCTAGGGTGCTTTTTTATTTCAATTCTTCTTGCACATAAAGTTGTGTCATTCATGGGGGTAGTTAGGATTGTGACATTAGAGGGGGGACCCGCAGAATTCTTTTTAAAACATTTAGAAACGAGTATATCAAAATTAACACACAATGGTAAAGTACAAACATGTACAATCCAACGCAGATGACGATAACTCAACAAAGATAAGAACTCCCTCCCCTTAGCTCTTTGGATAGCTGTACTGTAAAAAAGTGAATTTTCAATCTATTTTGATGCCAAGTTTATGATTTTGCCAAAATTGGCAGCATTAGCATTCTTCAGCTTCAGATTGACAAATTCTTTTCATAAAAATGTGTAGGTCCTGGTTTTTCTCTACTAATATTTTTTGTGAACAAATTCTTTACAAACTGCTAGACTGGCTTGTATTACTGTTATGGAAGACTCTTACAAGTAATTTTAATCAGAGAAGACACAATTGAGTTATTTTCTATTGAATAAGATTGATTAAAGATAATTTTGCAGTGTTGTTTCTTCTGTAATCAGAGGAGGAAATAAATTTGTTAGATATGCACAAACAATCCAAATTTTGTTCAGGTCAGCTGCCATACTTATTGGAAACACAGTTTTCAAAATTCTAAATGTGACGAATTGCACCTTCAACATGCACCCTGACTGAAGCAATACGCCTTGTTTCTGTTTCCTCCTAAATGGTTAAGCTTGCCTTCTCTCTTGAAAATGGTGGGATGTTCAGAGGTGTGGAAGGTGGCAGATCATCTGAAATTGCAAAGCCTTTATCAGCCATTACAGAGTCCCCTGGCTCCAGTAAATCATACATTTCACAATCTTTGCTAATCACTCTGTTACTACAGCATCCTGCATATAAATCAGAATCAAATGTGACTGAACCACATGGAGCAATTTTATTGTATTGTGGTGCTTAGAATTTGAATATGATTCATTTTGTGTCCGAAATGAGCTTGGCATCTTAATGAAAATCTCAGTTGCATCAATTATAACCCTGGTGCTTGGGTATGTTTTCTTGAAACATTTTGTCATTGTCTTAGCTATAGTTTCCCTTGTTGGCCACATAGGAAAAGGTCTTTGTCTTGAGTGCAAGAAGTCTACCCTTCTGGATAAATTCTGGATTAATGAGAGCATGAAATTCCAGCTCTATGTGCTATATCCACCTCTAACCAATCACAGCAAAGACATGCCAGCACTCGAAACAGTTCCTGCTCTCAGTACAATGACCTTTTAGGACCACACTTCCGACTTTCCTCTTATATTCTATTGGAGTCATGATAAATTATTTCTTTTCTGTCAACTTTCCAAAGGAATCATTTTTAAAAGTTTCATAATCAGCCAATCTTGTATAAAAACATAATTTCTTCTCATTGTTCTTAATAATGTCAACATGAAAAATGCCCTGGAAAATGTTTCTTTCTTTAGTGTGAATTTTGATTGAAGATCTTAAAGCTCAAGCATTTCCCTTTTCTGTAATGCATGCATCTCACCTTGCAGGGCAATAACCTGGTATTCTGGAGTTAGGGTGATGGCTTCACCCCCTTCACCATCTTTGTCATTTTCATAAATGCCATTCTGGGTGCCCCTATCAACATTTTTATTGGGATTTAAAACCACTAACACATCTCTATTTCTGGCCCTGAATGTTTTCCTTGGTTTCGGAATTGAAGGCCTTGTTGTTCTGGGTACAATCAAATATCTCTTTGCCCCCAGTAAGTGTTCAGAACATACTCTGTGACATTCCATTGGTGTTAATTCCTTTCTGCTTATCAACGAAATCCACTAATTCCTTAATTCAACTTTATCAGATTTAGAACTACTTGCAGATTGATGGAAATTGAAAATGCCGGTCTCTTTTAGAATTCTTGAAACAATCAGGAATGCAACAACTGTAGCCACCAATTGAATACATTTCTGGTTTTGTAGTGTTTCTCCCTCAGCTCCATTTTTGTTTTTAGGGCATGTCAAATCTCCTTTTGCTTTCCAATATTTGTTTTTGCCCAAGTCATTTCCTTGTTTTCCTTCCCTCGAAAGCATTCCCTGATCCGTACAAGAGCTTTGCAAAACTGGAGTCAAAACTGGGATTCAGCAGTCAAAAGAGATGAAAATTTATCAAAAACTGCACTAGAATCCATCTTGATACCTGATTGACGATCTAGAGTGTATACGATTCCAATAGAAACGTGAATGTAAACAACCTACGCTTAACCACATGACCCACAAAGCATTGCGTGCTGCAAGAATAAGGGGAACAGAGAAGTGTCAAGAAGCTTTACTGTGATATTCCATCGTTTTTCTCACCTGAATTGTGACTGGTAATGACCGAACCTGCTTGTTGTGGACATAATTATCAATTTCTTTATAATTGAGCTAACAGTAGGCCACGAATCTAGCGCCCTGGCAAATGCTACAAGGAAAGCAAAAAAATATGAAGATCTTTAAAATGATAATGACCTGAAATGTCTGAATCGAAAAATCTGTTCTGTGAATCTTGTGATGAATGCTGTCGGCATCTATTCAAAACATTCAGAGGTAATTTTCTTAAAAACTAACAGAAAATTGTATATGCTAGTCTTATTTTATTTTTGGTATGGGAACGAAAGAATGGAAGGGGCAGGATCTAAGGAACTACTAAGTTGAACCCTACCTTACTTTTTGTTAATTATTTTAAAGTATTTATGTGAATGCAAGCAGACTACGCTTAATTTGTAGTAAGTAGTCTGATTCTCTTAACATTTTTGGTAACTTTATCTTTTAAATTAATTTGTTATTCCAACTTTTTGAAATGATGTGTAATTTAGATTGTTATTATCATGAAAAGTTTCAATGTCTATTTGAATTGGGTTTTAAGATCAAACACCAGGTCACAACCAGTGACTCAGGGTGAGTGAAATAAAAAGACCAAACACCAGGTCTTCTGTTATTTATTTAGATACTCTTCTTAAAACATGTGCCATGCTATTCAGTACTATTCTTTGAATTTCTTGGAGTGATGGATTTCCAGGTATTTTCCCCACATTTTGACTCGTTCCTTACTTTATCAGGCACAATACACCAATTACAACATGGAAAGTTACAACTAGAATGACACTTACTTTTCGAAGGCAGCATAACCTTGCAATTTCTCCTTTTTGATGTTGATACTTTTCTATTTTATCGTTCGGAAATTAAAATGGTTTGATAATCTAGACTTGATTGAGTTTTGTTCACAGCCTGTCTTTTCTTGAAAATTCTTCTGTTAAAAGTTACATGTCTGAGTTTGTTGTTTTCTTTCCTGGTGACTGGCCAGCTCAATACTATATAAGGCAAATTGTTTATTCATGTTGCAATTTTGGTCTTTATCTGGGTAATGTTTTATAAAATGAAACGAAGGCATTACAATAAAGCCCCCTTATCTGGATTTCAAAAGTTTTTTACTAGAAAGACAGCAATGTATAAAAATTTGATAAGCTTAATAAATTTCTGTCTGCGACTGACGAGTATCCTGTAGAAAATTCCCATTCCATTACTAGATCCCAGACATCTGACGGGAATACACCAGAGCTGTTTGAAAAGAAGGCAAAGTCAGTGTTTCAATCCAAATCTTCGCAGAAAAGTTACAGAACCAATTTAACTCCACCTTAAACCCCCAAAATTTAGTAGGAATCAGTTGAAAAGCCTAAAATTGAAAACAAAATTTATTGCTGATTTATTCACCAGGATAGCATCCAATACAATAGGAGATGTTGACAATGATTTGGACAAATTGTTAAGAGATATACTGAGAACAGGGTCTAAAACACCCCTTCCACTTGGGCATCAAACACGTGATCCTCCAAACGAAAATATTTGTTGCGATTGGCCATCATGTACACTTTCTAACACAGAAGCAGAGTAGTTTATTTTTGAAGGTTGTTGGGATACTTTTCATCAAATATGTACAGGACATATAAATTACTGTTTGATTTGCAATGCCCACCTAAAAAATTTGCTACATCAGCACAATCATCAATTTTCGGAGAGCACAATGCTGAAAAAAATTATTCCAGGAAAATGCTACATCAGCAAAATTTTGTCCAAGCTATTACTCTTGCATCCTGCAAAACCCAATAATAGTGGAAAAAAGACAGCGATCACTAGAGTGGATGGGCAAACTATTGAAAACAATGAATGCAATCCTCACGAGGCCACAGTGGGAAAAAGGGAAAGAAAGTGTAGCACGTGTCTGGGAAAGGTATGCTTCAAGGAGGGCACAAACATATCTTGTGCATGTTCCTGGCACTTAACATCTTCTTTCAGTCCCGATATAACAGAAACGGACCCCTCTGTCTTTAAAATTGGGTCTATCACCCAAATAATTCTGCCCTGGAAATACAGTCAGACAGGACTGGCAAATCAAAACAACATCAATATGTTTGGCGGAATCAATTCCTGCTGTTTTTTCAACGATTGCCTGTCTTCTTTCTTTAAATGAT